CCTCCCCCTCCCCCTTATTTGTTTATGGGTTAACCATTCGTCATCTGAAATGGCAGGATATTTTTTATTCATCTACAGTCCATTTCGACTTTTTTGAAAAGATTAACTTTTTTGCTCTTGATCCACTCCAGCAGTCATCGTTGAATGTACCAACAACCCTTGTAAGAATGGCGGCACGTGTGACTATCAGGGGAAGGGACAGTATACGTGCCGTTGTCCACAGGGGTACAGTGGGGATCACTGCGAAAATGGTGAGAAAAATAAATGAGTAGAGTGCGATAAGAAGAACTTCAAATGCTTATAGATTCTCAAGTATACATTGATACTCTGTTATTGTTAGGTGTCCAGGTTAGAAGGAAAAATTTCGATCATTTTTAAAAAAAACCCAGAACTCTAAGGGCCGGATATTAAAGCAAAATTTAGCCGTTGTTTAACAAAACCGCGTTCTAATTATCTGCAAGTTAATAATTTCAATAGGGCTCCGACGATGCGCTCCGACGAAGGGCTCACGCTCGAAACGTCAGCTTTTATAATCGTTACGGTGGCCAATTTACCATTTCAACTTTGTTGATAATAAACATTATTATCATTTTAGTATTATCATTTTTATGTCCATGCTGTTTTTACTTGTATGTAGTTTAACGCATTTTGTACAGTTTTCCCCTTTTTTTCTCCTATAATTCTTGTTAATATCATAAACCTGTAATTCAGCATTCTCTGCAAGAGGTTTGAATAAACGATATTATTATTATTATTATTATTATTATTATTATATATTGAAATTATTTCGGTACCCCCACCAACCCAGCCCCAAACAGTTTCTTTAGAAACTATCAGCCTATCTTTACGGTTAGTCGAATCTTTAATCTGAGCATTTATTTTTGTGAACAATGTCAAGAAGGCCGAAATCTAATAGTGGTAGGTCATTCATTTAGTTAAATCAACCCTTTCATAGAGAATCCCTGAGGCCCACTGCTTCTCTAAAACTGCGATTTGGGTTAGACCTCGTGTTAATAACTGGCCCGGAGTATTAAAAACTTCACTGAAAAAGATCGACGCAGGCATAAATATGTCATTACACTCAAACAAAGTTATTGTTATCATCATTGTTTCAATAAAAAAATTCGAAATAATGCTAATAATAATAATAATAATAATAATTATAAACATTTATCATCCGTATCATTATTATCGTCCTCTTTATCATGATCGTCAATATCATAAATATATCACCATCCTAATACGGAAAATTAATTTATCATTACTCTTATGTTTGATATAAGGTTGACATTGCGTGGAGATTTTACGCGAAACATTCTCCTCTTGTTCTTATTGTCACAGACGCGTGTTCCAGCCAGCCATGTTTGAACGGAGGCATATGCAACGCCAGTGCGAATGGGTTTACATGCTCATGTTCGCCATTTCTCACCGGCGTACACTGCGAGATTGGTATTGGTAAGTTTGGTCGTGATGAGGGCACTTTAGTAACAAGGGGCATTTTTCATTTACTGTCTGAAGTAGCTCGTGGTTGTATTGGCTCTGTGTAGCGAGACCCCATGACTTGTGTGGAATGCTAGCGCTACCATCTACTTCAGCACAATGCTGACCAAAATCAATCGCGTGAAATTTTCGTCATCCACCCTTTACAGCTCTTCAGGCGCTTTACTCTTTGACCCCTGGAGGTGACCAGCCTCTAATTTCTCCTTAAAATATCACCCCTGAATCAAATATTAGGGTCATGGGAATTTAAGAAAATCATCCCCGACTAAAGAAGCGTTTGATTGTTAAAGAAATTCTCCTTGTCATCACCTTAGAAAATGTATAGGGAACAGTATGGAGAATATGCATTCGGTTGTAATGATTTAACGAGTTCGGTGAACCTGGGCTGTATCAAGCGCTCTTGTACTGGCTGGACTCAAACCAGTGCCTGCTTAACACTGGGTTTTCGCGTACCTCAGGTTTGAAACTGTCACGAAAATTTTGTTTCTCTCTTTTGGGATATTCAATTTCTCTCCCGATTTTAAACTAGATAAGCAACCCTATTCAGTTTCTCACTGCAAGTTGTGAATTATAGCAACAAATCTATAAATTTAATTCAACGATGGTGAGTTTTAGTGGTTCACAGTATTTTGAGTTAACAAACATGGCTACTTCCAGCGGGCTGGGTCAGGTTCACTTAATTAAAGAGATTCCCACTCGGGTCCAAACATAACAATGTACCCCACTTTTTTTTTTTTTTGTCATGTTAATGCATAAATTTTTTTCCGTTACTTTTCAGGAGTGGGGTGTGATAATTACATGACGAATAACGACCTAGATCGGAGTGTTCATAAACGTAACTCCAACAACAAATGCGATAACTCATTGTTAGAGGGCTGGTACCGCTTTAACAGCACTGCGGGCGCAAGAATACCCGACTACTGCGTGAATTAGGACATGTGCAACACGCGTTCTCCGGGTTGGTTCAACGGGATGCACCCTACCCCTCAGGAGGGTGCCGTGAACCGCACTGTTTGTTTCCGTTTAGGCGGCAACTGTTGTATGTGGACCTCAGCTATAATGGTGAGGAATTGTGGGTCGTTTTCGACGTATAAACTGTCCCCCACTACTCAGTGTTATCTCAGGTATTGCGTGACAAACTCGACCGCGTGACACCGAGATCTTGGGATTTTTTAGAAACAGAACGACCTCATTTAAGGCGAACTAGTTTCCAAAGAAACTTTTGACTGGCCACATCGGGTCAGTAAAACACTAATTTTATTACGAAACAGAAATTAATACAAGCAGATTAACTGCCGAAGCCAATTAAGGAAAGCTGTCGTTTCAAGAATCAAGGCTGATAGTTTCTAAAGAAACTGTTTGGGGCTGCGTCGGTGGGGGTAACGAAATAACCTGAATATATCAACAAAGTTGAAATGGTAAATTGGCCACCTTTACGATTAGAAAAGCCTTTAAAAGCACACACAACCCACAATTCCTCTATTCTCTCCGACGAAGGGCTAAAGCTCGAAACGTCAGCTTTTCTAATCGTAACGGTGGCCAATTTACCATTTCAACTTTGTTGATAATAAACATTATTATCATTTTAGTATTATCATTTTTATGTCCATGCTGTTTTTACTTGTATGTAGTTTAACGCATTTTGTACAGTTTTCCCCTTTTTTTCTCCTATAATTCTTGTTAATATCATAAACCTGTAATTCAGCATTCTCTGCAAGAGGTTTGAATAAACGATATTATTATTATTATTAT